CATCTGGCCCTGCCCATGCATACTTAAGACAGGTCTCCAAAGACATGTGATTACACCGTCTGTGCATGTGTATAACTGTGTCCTTAGGGTGAAGTCAGAGAAGCACCAGATCCCAATGGCTTTTTCAGATCTACAGATACATTTTACCAAGTTTCTCAAAGTAGTTGCCCGCTGACCTCTGAGAGGCCACACAGTGCATGGGGAATTACATTTTTTAAAAAAAGAATTATTTTATTTGGTTTCATTTGTTATTATTAGTTTTCAATTTGACCAGAGAGAGAAAGAGAGGGAAAGTGAGAAATCAAGCCACCAGGTCTGGGACTTGAACTGCAGTAGGCCATGTAGGAGTCCAGCATTTTAACTACCACACCATCTGCTGGCCCCAAGGAAATTACATTTTTTTCCCCATCCAGAATACATTGTATGTTGGCTCAATCAAGGATATTACCATACATGTTATCATTAACAAATCATTTTCTATTTCTTATTTCTTATATATTTGCTCCCCCCGCAAGTCCCTACCTCTCACTCTCTCGATTCTCCCCCTTCTCCCACTCTGTCTCTGATATGTACAGTTGTTTTCCATGTCTTTTTTTCCCACATTTTATTGATTCACTAAAGATCTTAATTAATTTGAAAACTTTCAATAGCAAGCACAGCTGATATATACATATCTATGAACACACATCTGACTTTAGGCGTAAACCTCAGTGAGTAAAGTGAACATACTATAAAGTAGCACCTAACTGGGGCTATATAGCTTACTGTAGTCACTAAATAGGTATTAATATGTATTTTTAATGCATTTAAAAAAAAATTTTTTTGGAGAGATTTTCACTGTAGGGCGCGTGCGCTCGCCAGACAGACAGAGAGAGACAGAGACAGAAAGCGAGAAATCACCCCCCAGGGGGGATGGTCACGCCGCAATCCCTTCTCCTCCATTCTCCTCTCAGGATCTTGGGCACGCACGCACACGCGCCCGGCGTGAGTTTTAAGCCACCGGGTCCGGGACGTGAACCGCGGTTGACTACGTGGGAGTCCAGCGACATAGCCATTACGCTAACTGCTGGTTCCCCATTTTTTTAATTTAAAGAAAAATAACTTTAGTTTTAGTAGGTCAAAATCAAAAATTGTTAAGAGAAATTTGCTTAAACCTTAAAGCCAGGAAAACAGTTAGGATTCGGTTCAAATAATAGGTAGATGAACCTATCAACAGTTCAAAAGAAGACAAAAATCCTTAAATATGGAAATTATAGCATGGAAGAAAATCAGTAATGATTTAGTCTAAAGTAAAAAAAACAAAAACAAAAAAAACTTCTATTTCATTAGTTTAGGCTCATTTAATTAATCTCCCTCCTATTGAATTAGCAGTGTTACTGTGGTCTGATCATCCCATTTAAACTCTGGAAGTTAACATTCAGCTCTGGACTTGTCCCTACCATTAGGCTGGCTGTTCTCTTGGTTGTTTTTTGTACTCTTATTTTGGTGTGTCCAATTTTAGTTTTCCTGGCATAGTACTCCCTTCAGCACTTCTTTGAGAGTTGGTCTGGGGTTGGTGTATTCTTTCAGGTTTTGTTTATCTGAAAATGTTTTTGTCTCTTTTTCCCATATGAAAGACAATCTTGCTGGGTATAGTATTCTTGGTTGAAATTGTTTTTCACTTAATATACTTTCCCATCCTTTTCTGGCTTGCATTGTTTCCGATGAGAGGTCCGACGTTAGCCTGATGGAATATCCTTTAAAAGTAACTTGTCGTTTCTCTCTTGCCAATTTTAGTATCTTATCTCTGTCTGTGGTTTCGGTCAATCCGGCTATGATGTGCCTTGGAGAAGATCTTCTTGGGTTGATTCTATGTGGGGTCCTTTCATATTTCTTGGGTTTGGATAGTTGAGTGCCTCTCTAGGTTTGAAAAGTTTTCTTTCAGGATTTCATGGAATAGATTATCAATGCCCTTATTAATTTGTTCACCTTCTGGGATACCGATGATCCAGATGTTTGGGTGTTAAATGGTATCTAGTATTACTCATATGTTATTCTTATTTTTGGTGGTTATTTTCTCAGTCTTTTGGTGAATTTTTCTAGTCAGAGGTTCTATCTTCTACATCTGAGATTAAATCTTCTGCATTATCTAATCTGCTTTTGATATTTTCAACGGAAATTTTGATTTCCTGTATTATAGCCTTTATCTCTAACAATTCTGTTTGATTCTTTTTTATGATGTGTGTCTCCTCTTTCAGATCATGCAAGAGCCTC